ATTGAACCTTATGGGGAAATTTCCTTCGGGTTGCGACCAATTCGGGGTGCGACCAGAATCACGGAACGAATTAAGTTCGTAAACCGAGGTTCCACTGTATTAGGGGGAAAGGACTGAGTCTTTTATACTCTCCAATTCTTTCTCTTTGGGGAAAAAACTCCCACCACCTCTCTATCCCCTCATTTTGGACATCATGTAAGAACATGGGCTTGTGAATCCTGTTGTTAGCTGCTGAGCAACTAGCTTCTGACCTCAAACATGACTAGGAGCTCAGGCTTCTTTCTGAATTTGTTTCATAGTGACACTCAGCCCTGCTCATGGGTAGTTACTGAACATATTGCTAGAGTCCTGATCATAGAGTGGATTGTATCAGCAAATGGAGGAATGTAGAACCTCTCTTCAACTGCAACCCTAACACGTGTGTCAAGTAAACCAGATTATCCATTTTCTTCTTGGGTTGCTGTTTCCTATTGAACAACAGCATATGTTTCACTTGAAGTACAACCCCATCTGCGGTCCACACTGATACAGTCTTTGCTGCTATGACACTATCCTATCCCAACTATCTGTTTTAATATTTAAAGTTTTGAATATTAAGGTTTTTTTTCTCACTTGTTTTCATTCAACCAGCAATAAGATCTTTACAGTATTCTCCATGAGTGTCACAAACCATCATTCCTGCTTGGTTTTGACAGTGTATTTTAAAGGTTGACTGAAAAATAAACTATAAAACATCATGTGAAAGCTTCCTGGAGATCCTTTCCCACTGGTCTGTTTCTCTAGGAAAAGGGTTATAAGGAATATTCTATTTTAATTTCCCAGAAGCTCCCTGAAGGATTGCTTTAGGTTACTCATTCTGCAGGGACTCCCAGTACAAGACAGACATAAGAACAGGCTTCTCCAAAAAAAAAGCCTTGCCATATTTGTAAATGACTTAAATCCAGCTGAACATTTCATCCTGAAACTTACCTTTGAAGCCTCGAGAAATGACATGTTGTGCCCAATCTAGTTTTTTCTCTCCCATCTGTTGCAGCAAAGCCAGATTCTGAAAAATGTAAGTGGAGACTGAGATATACTGTCTATATATAGATTTAGGATATAGTTTGTCATCGAACAACAGTCAGGTCTTACTCCAGATAAACCTAACTTTCAGCAGCAAAAGGATAGCAGATACTGTTATTAAGGAAGCAGTAATTTAATCCATATTACAGTATATGTTACAAATGGAGAACCTGTGACCTTCTAGATGTTGTTGGACTCCAACCCTAGCCAGCACAGCTAATAACTAGGGACGATACATAACAAGCTACAAGTTTCCCTGGCTCTGCTTTATAACAGTAGAAAATATTCTACAGGAGCAGCTGAAATTGAGTGGAATAAATCCATCCAACAAGGGGTTTTCAGTGTCGTTTCCTGTTATCCTCCTATGGTCTTGTTTTCTTCCATAAAGAAATCACTATTGTTGAGACGGGTGGCTATTAAAACAAAACAAAATAAAGCTATTAATCAATGCTGAAGGACAGCATGTTAATTACCATGCAAAAATCAAGATGTAGCTTCTTTAACCATTTCCCAATCACTCCATCCAGTATGAGCATAAGTGAGCTTTTAGGCAAGGAGGCAGCTCACTTCTTTGTACAGTCCAGACCCCAGATTTGCTTAAGCTGCAATTACAACAGGGAAAGAAGGACTCTTTGCCCATATCTTCACTTGAGAGTGTGGGAAGGAAATCTTCCTCCCACCATACTGTCTTCCTCCCTCCCTCCAGTCTCCTGCCATAGTCAGGGCAAAAGGTTAAAAATTACAGTTAGAATGGGCTCAACACAAAGATTAAAATGCAGCAGGAAGTACCAGTCTATTTGGGTAAATATTCCTTTCAGGCTGACTTTAATTGGAGGTCCCCTTGATTAAATAAGAAGGGGTCCTTTCTTCGAGGAGATTACTGTTTCAACCAACAATGCTAAACAAGCAGTAACTGCAGAAACCACGGCTCAGCAGGTGCCTGACTGCAGAGCGCTTCCTCTGGGAACAACTGCTAAGTACACTTTCTCAGAATTCCTCAAGGGCCTGCTTTTGGGGAACAAAAGGCAAGGGTCCCCTATATAAAGGGCTTTCAGGGAAGACTTAGCACTGCCGCATCCAATGGCTGACTCTGTACGTTGTGCTCTCGGAAATAAACTTCACCTCTGTTTCAAGCAACTGCCTGCGCATTTGATTCCCAGCTCAGAAAACGATCCTGGTAAGATTTCCTTCTGACAAGAGAAAGTGGCTAACACATACAGGAATAAAACTGTCTCACAGTGCTCTTCCTCTGCATCATTTCTGGTTGATCACTATACATACTATTAACTGAGTAGTGCCAAAGTGTTTTTGTTTTCCTCTTCCCCATTTCACACTTTTTCCTTTTGTGTCATTTTTTTTAGATTGTAACACCTATAAGCAGGGAATGTTTAATTTTCATTGATTTTACACAAACAACTGCACTAGAATAGAAAGATGGTTTCAAATAGGATCCTTCAATAAGATCACAATTTTCTCAATGCTCTATTTTCTTTGTTCTCAAATACTTTGGATGTTGCAGGTGCAGTATCTAAACACCATGATTAAAACTCAATATGATGATAAAAGTTACCGATAAAGCTGTCTTCTCTGTAGAGGTATGTCAATGTCAGAAACATTTTTTAAGTCAACAGTGTTAGAAAGACAGGCAGCCACAGCAAGCAGATGCTTACCTGCAGTGGCTGAATTCCAGAAGCAACATGATTTGAGATCATCCGGACCAGAGCTCTCTTCTTTGGATCCTGTGGAAGGAGCCTTGGGAGTGGTTGGGTGTCCTCCAGATACTCTATGATGGCTAGCTGAAATAGGCAGAGAAACAGTCACTCATTCATTCATTCATTCCTAAGGCTGCCCACTTGCTAACGGTACTGGGCAGTTTGCAGAGGATTAAAACTGTTTATTATTATTTGTAGCTGGGTTTAAAACCATACAGTTCAAATAGCAGCAGTAGTAGTAGTAGTAGTAGTAGAATATCTTGGATGCAAAATCAACAAATAAGAAAAAAGCCAAACAGTGTACCACCAAATGGAAGATCAGGTTGGAAAACAAGATCAGCATGCTAAGATCAGATGCAAACAAGCTAGAACAGATGAAAGAAAAGAAGCTAAAGAACAAAAAGACCAAATACCTGATCAAGAAATATCACCTAGAAACAAGGAAGATCAAGGAAGCATTGGAAAAAATAAAGCAGCAAATAACAATCATAGCCAAGAAGGTCAGCAGTTATAAAGCCCGAATTGCACAATATAGGCAGAATCTCCAATTTCAGTCAAATTAGAAATGATTCTACCAATCCATCAATGGAGAAACTGCAATGAACCAGTTAACATCTGACGAAGAAGAAACAGTGCAGTTCTGGGTGCAGCTATCGGACAACCCAAAGAAACACAACAGGAATGCAACTTGGATAAAGGAGATGGATAAGAATAAAAAAGAAGATGAAATAAAAGAACTTGTAATGACAGCAGAATGGTGGAGAAAAGGGCAAGGAAGATCAATAATTGGTCAGCACCAGGTGAAGATGAACTGCATGGTTTTTGGTTGAAACATCTGACTGCAAGGAGGTGAAATTGAAGATTAGTTAACATCTGGCAAAAGCTACCTGATAATGAAAGATCCAGCAAAAGGGGCAGCACCAGGCAACTACAGGCCAATTACCTGCTTGCCAACAACTTTCAAATTCCTAACTGGTGTGATAGTTGATGCAGTCTAACAGCACCTAGTTGAAAACAAGCTCTTTCTATCTGAGCAGAAAGGAAACCACCCAAATAGCAGAGGGACCAAAGATCAGCTCCTAATTGACAAGATGATTTTGGAAAGCTGTAAGAGAAGGAAGATCAACTCGAATGTAGCTTGGATTGATTACAGGAAGGCATTCAACTCCCTGCCACATGACTGGATAATCAAGGGTCTAGAAATAACAGGAGTCAGTAAAACATCAGAAGCTTTGTGCAAAGATCAATGGGACAATGGAAGACACAGTTGCTGGTCAATGGTGATAGACTGGAAAGGTTAACATCAAGAGAGGAATCTTTCAAGGAGACTCACTATTACCACTATTGTTTGTCACGGCATTGATTCCTCTGTCAACAATACTGAACAAGTCTGACCATGGCTATCAAACATCAAAAACATCTGCCAGGTTATCCCATCTCCTTTGCATGGACGATCTGAAGCTGTATGAAAAAACACCATCTGAAATGGAATCAGTGCTCAACACTGTCCAGATATACAGCCAAGAGTTTGGACTGAACAAATGTGCCACCCTTACCATCAACAATGGAAAAATAGTGAAAGCTGAAAGAATCAAGATGCTCAATGGAAATAACATCAAGAGTCTGGATGAAGAAGATCACTACAAATACCTGGATATCCTTCAGACTGACAACATCAAGCACAAGCACACTGAAGTCAAGAAGAAGGTTTGTAGTGAATACATCAGTAGAGTGAAGAACATCTTAAAGTCCAAACTCAGCGGCAGAAATACCATCAAGGCAATTAACACCTGGGCAATTCCAGCCATTAGATATACAGCTGGAATAGTAGACTGGAGTCAAGCTGAACTAAAAGACCTAGATAGGAAGCCCAGAAAAATAATGACAATGAATCATGTCCTTCATCCACACACCGACATTGACAGACTCTACTTACCAAGGAGCATAGGTGAGTGTGGAATGTTACAAGTACACC